GTTTTCTGCGTCCAGTCGCAGTTGGGGTGTTGTTTGAGAGATCTTGATCCCTGGCCAAACAATCCAGGGATACCACTTGATTTAAGTATATAAACCTTACCTTGACGTCGGGTGGCCAATGCTCCACCCGTAGGAGAAGTCGACACGTGTACTTTGCAGCAAATTGAACTCTGTTTACTGTTAACCAATCAAACCAAAAAACCCTATCCCTATCCCCATGTCTTGGACATCGTTTGCCACATGTCGCTCTCTCTAGACGGTAGCGATCTTGTAATTGCGTGGCCCACACCTGATACGCTTGTCTGATCGCGATCACATACCTGATCGCTGATCATGATCTCGATCGCTTCCTGATCGCGATCGCCTTGCTGATCGCGGATCACATGGTGTTGCGGTGAAGTCGATCTCACAAAATCTCCTTAGTGAGTGTCGATCTTCCACTTGCCCAGACTTGCCGACTGACGGAGGGGGTACTCCGATCCGTGCCTTGTTGTATAGCCTTGTGCTCACCTTGTGTACCTGTCGGTTGGGCTGGCTTGATCTCTTCGTAATGGCCTTGGGAGATGTTGATCTCGCTAAGGGTTTGGGGTTGAGCGTTCGCTTCCGGTGCGGAAATCTTCACACCACGAACAGGGGTTCTGCGATCTTGATCTTGAGTCGCGGCGATCTCTATTTGGAGATGTCGCGATCTCGATATTGAATCACACCGATCTCGATTCGCCTTCAGGATCGGGATCTTTGCTGTGCGGAAATCTTTACTCAGCAAATAATAGTCTTGCGTCGATATTGCGCTGAGATCGTTCCGAGTGGTCTCGGGATCGGCCGATTTGCCGGAAGTGCGCAATATGGACAGATCGGTTCTTGGTTTCGCCAAAATGAAACGTGCCGATCTGCCCTGTAGATCGCTTCGATCTTGCTCGGTCTTGTCTTGAACTCCTTGTCCAAATCTTCTGACCACTTGAGCCGTCTCGCGATCTTATGTCCAATGTCCTTTTCTTTGTGTTGCTTTTTGCTGCTACCCCAGCAGTTATGTTAAGTGTGAGCACTTGATCGATCCGGGCCAGATGTCCCGAGATCGCTCTTCTCGATCTCGGCCAACAATCCAAGATCGGTCTTCTGTGTCCCTGTAACACGCGTGCCTTGACCAGCTGGGGAAGCCAAATAAATCTTGTCCGGAGAAGAGGGGAGGGGAACGTGCGTCGTGAGCAGAAGAAGTAGAGGTTAAGTATGTTTATTTACCAACCATTTATTAGCCAACCTATCTTTAAGCCTATTCCCAACCGTAGTTCACTCTCCAAGTCGATAACTCCTTTAAGCTTGACCGCCCCCTTGAACACGTGTCGAAATTTCGTAACCTGTACTCCAAAGATAGCGCCAACACTTCCGATATCGAATCTAGACACCTAATAGGAGCAAATTCCAAATATGGTACCAATTACCCAATTTTAATACCAAAAGGTCCAAAATAGTACTCAAATTCCAAATGTGTCCAAATCCGCTTTGCGGCGTCAATTCAACCGGCCTCCACCGGCTCTTTCGATGTAAACTTTTGAGACATCACACGCGGACCTTCAACAAGCATGTCTGTCATGATCCGAAAGTCTCATCAGCGACATATCCATAATCAGTGGGGAACATGGCCGATCTGATGCCCAATTCGAGATCGTTGAGGATCGACACCGTGCGATCTGGTCATATGTGTTCTTCCGTCCATTGAGCGTACTCCGATACCATCTTCAAGGGTTTATCTGCTCAATAGGACCGTCCATAGTTTTCACAACGGTCCCACGGACTCCCACAAACATCCTCAATTCCAGATCGGGCCATAATTAACCTAAATCAGTACTCCATCTGGGAGACCGGTAAAGAGTGTCACCGATCTGCAGGATGTTAAAGCTTCGTCACAGAGTCATATTACATCACCTAGTCCCAGATCCTTGTCCCAGATCGCCCCATGTAAATCTTCTAGTTGTCGTCTTGTCCCAGATCGCTCCGTCTCAGGTCGATCCATATCCATCAGTCTGGTAACAGTTGAACCAGATGACCGATCCACGTCCCAAAATTTAATTAGTGACTTTACCACATTATGCTCCACACCAACTTTATCGCGTAACCTACTTTATCAATGATCAATGATCACGATCTCGATCGCTTCCTGATCGTGATCGCCTTGCTGATCGCGGATCACATAATGTGCTCTGCACCAACTTGATCATGATCATCTATCTGATCAATGATCACGATCTCAATCGCAATCACATACCTGATCCCTAATCACAATCTCGATCGCTTCCTGATCGTGATCGCCTTGCTGATCGCGGATTACATGGTGTGCTCCACACCAACTTGATTGCGATCATCTACCTGATCACTGATCACGATCGCGATCACCTACCTGATCCCTGATCACGATCTCTATTGCTTCCTGATCGTGATCGCCTTGCTGATCGCGAATCACTTGGTGTACTCCACACCAACTTGATCGCGATCGCTTCCTGATCGTGATCGCCTTGCTGATCGCGAATCACATGGTGTACACCACACCAACCTGATCTCGATCACATACTTGATCTCGATCGCCTCCTTGATCGCGATTGCCTTCTTGATCGACTGATCGCCAACGTTACCTTCCGCCTCATACCGTGACCCAAGATCTAAGGTCCCAACCTGCCCAATCTGATATACATTTTAGTCTTACTGTCCAATGGACGCGACCTGACCAAATGCGGAACTGGGCCGCCAACCGTTAACCATATCGGAAATAACGGGAATGCGATCAGTTCCTCTACAGCGAATTTCTATAGTCGCTTTGCCACAATTAAATGTAATGCGATAAACCGTTTAAATCTTGGCCAGTGTTTTACACGCTAGCTGCGTGCCGTAAGACGCACAAGACATCACACGACTCGCCGTGTTAAAGATAAGTATAAACAACGATTTCATGCTAGCAGAAATGACATGATATAGCGTTTCGTCAAGCCCATTGAATGCATGTATACTTCTAGAGTATTTATGCAAAATATAGCAGATATCAATATGCATAGATGCTAGTGACTCGTATAATAGCAATCATATATATATATATTGTCAGTCATATTTAGCGCTCGATTAGCGCAGCAGCTGATGTCCCAGTCAGCACTGGTTGGCTTGAGTATCATCTTCGTCTCTTGCATGCCCTGTAGACATGATTTACTAAGTTTGTAAGCACGTGCGTCTGACCGAGGACGTGTGTCAACGATGCTATGTTAATCAGATGGCCCTCTCTTATATGCAGCTTTTCGAGCAGCATTAAAACAGCCTCTCCGACACATTTTGCTAATTCGAAAAGCAGCAGAGAAGATCACGTTCACGCATGCCCAATTTTTCGAAATCGACGCATTCCGCTCCTGGTTGCAGTAGTTGCCATTGTCCATACGACGAGCGTTCTTCTACTATGTAGTGTTTAATCACTTTTTATAATGGGTATATATCGTTATATTATAATCTGTAGGTGGTGGTCGTAACGTTTATATAAAATCATTAAATTGATATCTGCTCTCATAAATATAAAAATATTGTTTTGAAAAATAAATAAATTGATATATATTTTTAAGTTTATTTTATTATCGAATAGACATTTCTTTAGGTAAAGCACCTTCAGAACAGAAATTTGTAAAAAATCAGTATATGTCTAAACTAAACTTCTCGGATTAAAGGGATAATTTGCGGTATTTCTTCCATGACATGGAGGTGATTAATCATCGATTCCACAAATTTACAAGCAAAACGAGCAATTTAGCTCAATCTTCTTTTTTCAGCTCAAATATAATAAATTTGGTTTTATAAATGTATAGTTATATGATACTAAAAAAACTGTTTCTATTTGCCAAATCGAAATGTCACGACGCACTTATGTCAATTTCGCGTCAGTGTGAAAAAATACGTCAATGTCGTCTAAAGAAACCTATTTATCGTGAGATACGTTTACGGCGAGAAAAAACAATAGTGTCGGGGAAGTATATATTTTAGCAGCACGAAAGAAATGCTTGTAGCATTAATAATCGCGTCACGAGTGGTACGTGCAATGGATTTTCAGGCGCTGTGAACAGAGAGAAATGCGACAGCTTGCAAAGAAGGCTTTTGTCTTGTATGTACCAAACGCCGTCATACAGCCTCATGTTTGACTGCAGTTGACTGTAATGGAGAAAGCAGCCAAGTCACAACAATGGACGCAGCGAACAATTGAAGTTACTATTTGCAGTGAAAGCATACATGCATGGTGTGTAGTGCACCCAGGTCATTCGAATCATAACTACGTCCTATAGCTTGTCGCATTTTCACGACGCGACCTAGGTCCTCACCATATATCCCGAGCGCAATGACGATTGAACAAAAAGAACAAATCAGTGTGACTAAAAAGTTTATTCGATAACGCGAAGGAGACATTCCGGTCCATGGCTTATACACGTTACACGGTTTGGCAGGATATGTATCGACTAGCCGACTGTGGTCAGGTTAAAAGACCGTGGCACCATACGCGTCATCGTCCGGTGTTACGCGAGTGCGCCATTTGCTGAAGTCGGGTGAACCTTTTGTAAATGCTCTTGTATAAGACGCCGATGTCACACGTAGGCCGGCCAGCCACGCGTATTACGAGACACGAAGCAAAACTAAGCATTTGGCAGTGCTTGCAAACGATCGACCGTGGCCGTCGACCAAGGTGTGTGTCCCACAAGAAGATTCGACAGGATCACCACTGTGCGGGCCGATTCTAGTTCAGTAGGCTCATGCAAAGCCAGCACAGCATCAACAAGTTCTTCTGATTGTCTATCCATGTCCCGACAGCCAGATCGTAACATGAGAAATGCCCGCAGTTTCTCAGGTCTGAACCCAGAAAGCAGTAGTTCATAGACGGCATTGTCATCGATATTGTGATGCTCTCGGTACACGACCACATACTTCAGGAACTGTCCAAGCCACTTGCAGATGTCGGTCTCTAGCAGTGGGACCATCGCGGCGCATCAGTCAGATCTTAGATCCTTTCCCCAAGGGTTCCAGCTGTGCGCTATAGATTCTCCTAAGTCTTTACTTGCCCACGTCAGCATCATCGTCTCAGCCACGTCTGGGTGGTCGGCCAGCAAATGTCGAGCTGCCACACGTGCGAAGTCCGCACTCACCGTTATCCCGCGGAGATATTCCAAAAAAGCCCCCACGTTTTCTGCTTTGCCTTCCTTCACCAAAGTGTCGACAAAAAATGATTCGGGTTCAAAGCGGTTGTCCACGAACGAAAGCTTTCCCACCTTAGCCGTGTGGAGAGCCTTCCTCAATCGTCGGACGTTGGTGTAGTGCACATAAATGAGCCAATGCTCGAGGTTATAGAAGATCACAGGATACGCCGCCGGCTCTTTAAAGCCGCGCTCTTTGAGGTCCTCGGAGATGGGCAGCATATAGAAGAATTCTTCAGGGCTTACTCCAGCATCTTGACACGCATTCCTCATCAAAGCTCCGGCGTTGTCGTTTCTCACGGCTAGCGCTCTCAGCATGCTGTGGGTAATTTCATTCGTACCATCGACGTCACGGTAGCGAACCAAGGTCGCAACGGCTTTTACCAAGCTTTTGTAGCTATACTCTGGATCCTTGACGGCAGCATTGGAGGTATGGGTCCCTACCGTTAGAGAATAGCGATCCACTAGCGATTGAAGGCATGACATCGATGTTTTGAGATCCTCAGGAAGCGCCTCGGAGTCCATCTGAGCGCCTGCCGGATAGATATCGCGTCCTGGGGGGGAGAATTTCCCAACCCTGCTCGCGAGAGACTTGATATCGTCTAATTCGAACAGCGTCGACAAGCTAATTCTCTCCTCGCTGTTCAGGTGGACGTGGTCGTCCTCCGATCCCGCCGGGTTGCGTGGTCCCAAGATTCTTGGCGTGTCAGACTCGTCGATCTTCGGATGCGGGGCATGAGCGGACTTGTAGAGAGCGTCATCTTGGGTGTGATTACCGGTCGGTACTAGCGTTGGTTCTGCAGCGGTCCATTGCAAGGCGACAAAGGACATGAATAGTGGGAAAAGCTTGCACATCGTGTTGATGGAGCACTTTGGGGAATGAAAAATCGCATCGCAAACATCGTGGCCGCATGCTCAGGACCACCCAATTCTTGCCCGGCGTTTGACCAATGGAGGTGGCTTCCAGATCTGGTCGCCGTGTCAGCACCCACTGTAATGGGTTGAATTTCGTCTAATGAGCGCTTCGGTTGTGTGGGATACACCACAGAGAATGTCCTCTCGATATTAATATCGATTGTACCTTATGTGTTTATGGGGGCCGACACGTGTTAGCCACCGGACGTGCGTTCCTCTACATGTACGTATTATGACCAAAGAGTCTATGTATAAAAAATGGTTTTTAGGATAAGGTGTTAAATCATAGATAAAATAGATGGCCCCGTTTAAAAACAAAATAGAATAATGCCACAGATAATCGAAAATACAAAAAATATTATGCTCCATTATATCACGAAAAGAAATATGTCTCACGTCGAAGCATATTCAAGTTAATGTGGCACAAATCAAACTTCATTCCTTAACACAAAAATATTTACATTATATGTATTGTAACGGGGCAGCCCGTTACATGAAATCGTCACTTTAAGGAAAGTGACAATAAAGAATATAAAGATGGATATTCTTTAAACAATATCACCAAAGTGGTGATATTGAAGGGTCGACCAAAGGGTCTGTTCATTGGTTGATATCGTGATGATATCAACCCACCAATCGCCGCAAGACGCGCGCAATGAGTGGTGACGAGACGTCACCATACATGCAGTTATATTAGTATAATTGAATTAAGTCAAACGAAGAGACAGTAGTTTAAAGACTTAATTCTATTAATATAACAGTTCTGCTTTTACCCTACCTACGCTTCCTCGCTCGCCGCGTGTACGTCCGTCGGGGCACCCAAATCCCTTGCGTTAATTTACGCAAGGGTGTGCCCCGTTACATGTATGGTTGGCCAATTTTAATGGCAAGCGACGGTGATCAGCACCTACCTTACAGTTTTTATAAAAAAAATTGAAGCTACTCGAGCAAGACCGACATAACTCAAACAGTCATCAAATTCTATAATAGATTCAACCGTCCGAGTCGCGTTTTAATGAGTGATCGACAGCATTAAAAAGCCGAATGCACATTTCATGACTGTCTCGTAGCAACATTGCAACAAAACCAGCACCCGCAAAACTTACAACAACAAGACCAGCAGCTAAGGCAGTAGCAATTATCAACAATAGCAATTTCAATAGCTTCAGCCTTAGCAACAGGAGTAGCCGCTGTAACGGGGTAAGCCCGTTACATAAAAATTGGAACAATAGTACCAATATTTGAAGGGAATTGCTAAATTTACACCCCTTTTCCTTAGATTCACACCCTTCCTTCGAAATCTTATTATACAAGGTACGCAATCGCCATTGGACAAAGACGAATACTTTCTCTGCCACTTGGCTACGAGCGACATCTTGCGCGCTGCTGTAGCTGCAGGCACCGACATAGACAAAAAGATCAAAGTCCACGGTGGTGGTGGTGGTGGTGTTGGTGTTGGTGATAATGTTGGTGTTAAACTTGGTGTTGGTAGTGGTGTTGAAGTAGTTGGTGGTGGTGGTGGTGGTGGTGGTGGTGTTGGTGTTGTTGGTGTTGTGTTGGTGGTGGTGGTGGTGATGGTGTTGGTGTTGGTGTTGTGTTGTTGGTGTTGGGTTGTTGGTGTTGGGTTGTTGGTGTTCTTGCTGTTGGTGGTGGTGTGGTCATCCTCGTGCTAGTGGTGTTCATCCCAGGCCTGCTCGTCATGTATAGCCACATGCTCACGCAGCGTAATCGTGCGTACTCCAAGACAAAGATCAAGACTGCTTAGAGCAGGATGCGACAAAAAAAATGAAAACTGGCAAGAAGCGATCGTGTGCTGAGTGCAGTATCCGGCTTGGATGGCATGAAGAGCACAAGACAAACTTGCACCCAATGCGTCCGGTACCCTAACTCGGTTTAATACATTTTCGATACTATCTGCAGTTTCACGTTAGCTAGCGCGTGCATTTCTTGAGTGCCTAATTGGATTAGAGATGATCCGATGGAAACTAATGGGGTCAGGAATTTCTTGGTAAAGATACGGTTCACCAATGTGTTCTCCATCAGGAGCTATAATGTGTTTTGAATACTTGGCGAATTCCATTTTGCTTTACCGTGTCCAAGCGTAAAAAATACATACACGCACGGTAGAAGGAAGTATGACAATCGATAACTGATCAACATCAATGTGCTATGATTTGCTTTAAAAGGATGCATATCAGTCTTCAACCTCTTGTTACTTTTGAAACTGGCAAGTTCGTTTGTAGTGACCTGGTTGACCGCAGCACCCACATTTCCTTTGGTGTTGGTAATCTGCCTTTTCAAAATGTTCGAACTTGGACAAGTCTCGTTTTGTGCTGCTTTTTGGAAGGTTACGGGAGCCAGAGAAACGACCACGAGTTTCAGTGTGTACCATCGGATCGTTCAGCCCCACCAATGTGCTGCGGTCACCAAAAGTTGGGTCAATTGGGCAAAGAGAACCTTTACTTGGTCATCTGATGGTTCCCTAAACTTCTTTTCAAGCATATTCTATTTAACGTTGATCGCCTCAACTTCACCGCTTGCTTTCTATCAAAAGATATAACCACATCAGTCAGCGTTAGTCAGATACACACACCATTAAGTAACTGCCATACCGTTGCGTCGCGTCTCCGATCCAGATGCCACTGCTCATGAAAATCGTTTATGCCCAATGCACGCTTGCTGTTCTCCGTTTCTTTTAGCTTGTGAGCACAAGAGATGCACATTGTAGAGGTGAAAACCATTGTGCAACAAGCTCTTTCTTTTGTGTTCCTCTTAAATTGATCAAGACACTTTTTAAGTGCAAAGGCTGAAATGATCCCGGATACTGGAGTGAAAGCTGACGGTAACCCGGTCAGGTGAAGTAACTTGTCTCTGATGCGATGTGTTTCTTCAATTCTAACTTGATGCTCAATTGCAATAGTCAGCTTGCTGAGCACCGACAGCAAGTCCCCTGTTGATACTTGCAGAAATTTTCTTACGTACGCATGAGTGCCTTCCACTCGTGATGTAGCTTTGTTGCCAAAATAAAGATACCTCGACGTCCAGGCATTTACAAAGTGATCCTTGTATATAAGTCACGTATAGAGAGGTATTCGAGAACTTTAGACTTTCTGTCAAAAGAGTTTAATAGCTCTTTCCACTTTTTTCAAATTACACTTCCGTTTTAGCAGCCACCAGATTATTCCACTGCTAAAGAAACAAGTTCCATTGCTCGATCGTCCCAAATTGTCGTTTGCATTTGGACATGATATTTTTGTTGATGTGCCATGTGCACAGCATGAGTGATGAAGATGGGAAAATTTTGTCGATAGCTGCCATCAGCGACAGATCACTGTCTGTCACAATCACGGCTGGGCGTGTCTCTGGTGTCAGGATGGCTGCAAGTTTTAATAATGCCCACTTGTAATCGTTTTGCGTCTCTTCTTTAAGAAAGCAGAAGCCAACCAGAAATTGGATATTGAAGCTTGTCATACCATCAATGTGAAGTAAGGGGCAACGGTACTTTTTTGTCTTGTATATGCAGTCCATAAGCACGTCATGATAGTATCGGCAAGCAAGCCGAAACTTTCTTTGTGAGCGAAAAGAAGGGAGGTTATTGCTCCATCATCATCACATCTGTGAAAGTGCGTAAAATTGTTTGCTTGCAAATCATCAAAAGGAGCTTGAATCGGTGTCTTTCAATTAAGCTTGTCCTTCCGAAGTGTCGTACACTCATTGTACAATGTAGAGAGGTTTGCTAGGGAGCCGCCATTATCCATAAGAAGGGATATAAGAATCCCTAACGGTTTAACACCAGCCAATGTCATATTTCTGAAAGCATCGGCCTGCTCGCTATATAGCTTCCTATAAGTCGAATGACCAGACGGATGGAGTGACGGCTCGTGATTGTGGCATCCATTCATCACATTTAACTTCCAATTACCCCCTTTTTTGGGGAATATCCACTTTAAAGAAACGGGCAATCAATTCGGCGTGAGCTGGTCTGGCGTTGGCGCTCTTTTCCAACCGTTAATACGTTTACGGCACCTCGATCACATTTAACGTAGACACGCTTCCTGCAATCGAACTTAAAATCGTAACAGCATAACCTTGGCCACGTGCGAACGTCTGCACAGCGTCCATAAGTTGCTCTCGACTAGAATACTCAATCTCGGGAGGAGGACGCATGTTATTGCGTGGTGCCCTATCAGTAAACGCTGGAGGAGCTAGACCACATGCGTAAGTAGTATCTTATGTATTGATTACGTATTACTTGCCAATCAATGACCTAGATTATTGAGTAATACCTTTGTCAGAAACGAAATCATAATAAAATTAGGGATTTTATTTATAAGATGTTGAAGGAAGGGCGTGAATCTAACGAAAAGGGGTGTGAATTTAGTAAATTCCTATTTTATTATCATTTATTTTTATAATATTTGATCAACATCACTCGAGAAAGGCGATTTTGTCAAAATATTACCTTTAAGGGTAATATCCGTGGAGGGGTCCACTTCTTGGTTGATGTACACGATACATCAACCAATTGAACCACCAATCGCTGCTGGACGCGCGCAATGGGTGGTGGACTGAAGACTCACGTAGGGGACAGTAGTTTAATATAGTTAGATTAAGACAAAAGATGATATAGTAATATTACTATATTTAATAACAGTTCTACTATCCTCTCAATACAGAGCTCTAGGGTTCTGTATTGTCTTGGTCGCGCTTCCTCACGCCACGTGTACGTAACATCGGGCGTAAGCACCCTTGTATTGTTATCAATACAAGGCATTGCTCAATTATCTGAGCAAAAGCTTCCCCGTCACAGCAGCAACAGCAATATTAAAAGAACAACAACAATAACATCAGCTACAGCAACAGCAGTAGCAGCAACAACGACGATATTAATAAACATTAGCTACTAAAGCAATAATAACAAGAAACAATAACAATAATAT